TCACTCATATTCTTTCTCATTAACCAAACACTGATCTTTCGAAGCTTAACCTTTCAATGCTAGTATGTGGCATATCTTATTCGTGAAATCTGTCAATAAACATATAAAAATCTGTCCCAGAATGAAGAATGTTATATCGAACCGGGGTTCTACGAGATATTGTTAAATGGGACACGACTGTGTTATGTTCCATCTGTACCTGTATCTCCCATATCCTCCCTTCCTTCATGTTTTTATACCAAATGTTTGTACGAGTATATGACTGATCTTACAAATGCATGCTGTATTTTCCGCCCAAGTTGTTAACCAAGGTTTAAGGCTAGAGAAACTTTCTACAAGGAAGAGTGTATTAGATTTGTCTATTTGTGGGTTATTAACAACATTTTCAGTAGCTACTCTGCATAACGTCAATGGGTGAATGATAGATGAACGATAATTTTGAAAGGAGTTGGAAGGAAGCTATCGAGACCTATTCGAGGTATTGTCTTTAGGAAATGCATTACGTGATTATAGAAATATGTTTCCACACTCTATAAATTATAATTTTAGCTCATTTCCTTAAAATAATTAAATTTCAGATTATCTTATGCATACTGTCTCTCTTGAATGAGGCTTTTCTTTGCTTTCTTCAGTCCTTTCAGCCATGTATGGGATTAGTGCCTCAAGTTAGACCATGAACATTTCCTGTCACATTTTGTACAGTTAATTTACTGTTAATTTTGTCATTCGAAGTTATGTAATCTGAACAGTTGAATGCGTCGCTAAACAAACCAGCAATAACTTGGACTCTAATTCTGTTCCCATATTGGAGCGTCGCAGATCGGCAGATCGCCATGTTAGCGTTGCTGACGGCAGGGAATTTACAGAGCCTGGATGTCAGGTGGCACCAGTGACATGCGCAGTACAGGTTTCTAATAATGCTCATGTGGTTCCGAATTACCAGTAAATTTGTTAATTCCTGTTTTCAGTCAAAAGAAATCAACAGTCACAAACCTGCATAGTGCTTGTGTAGACTTCAGAGAACACATAATATTTATGATCCAGGGAATTGCTCAACCAATTAGTTTTTTCCAATTTAATGTACGAAGTTGCTTTATTCCGCAAGACAAAATTTCTCATCACAACTTCAATTAATTAGATTTATCCGTACCACTAACCCCAACCACGACAAGTTAAATGTTTCATTTATATGACAGTTTTCTCAAAGAATGGATATAAACTCGCCCTTATCAGTTGTAATCTGACACATCAGTCATGTTATTATATACTGGGATAGCTGCATCGAATGCGGCCACTGCAAGAACATACCTTCTTCCCCCCCCCCACGTTATCTGTTAAACTGTAATTCTAGAGACCTTGAATTCGGCAATCTTCATATATCTTTCTTACAATGTGCCTAGAAATATATATTGGCCCTATCTTTCGGGGCTACGCGGTAGCGTAGTTGGTTGAGGCACTATGCTACAATCTGGACTGTCACGGGATCGAATCCCGATGATGTGGATTTTTTCAAATTACCTAAACCTTCCAGCCGCTTTATGGCCCTGGGGTCAACTCAGCCTCTAACAGATATGAGTACGAGGAATCTTCCTCGGGGTAAAGGGCGGCTGGCGCATAAGCCTGACAACCTTACCGCCATCTGTGATCCGATTTTCTAGAAGATGTGGGCTACCTCCATCTCTGACTACCCTATGGGTCTTCACGGCCTGTTACAGGGATAAATTTACTTTACTTTTACCTATCTCTCGGTGAAATCAAGTCACGGCCCGTCATGACAGTTTATGACAGAAGAATGTAATCTCACAATCTTATGAGAAAATGAAGGATTTTTTAAAGTTTGTAATTTTCGCAGCTGATCAAAAAATTCCTCGTTTCTATGGAATCCGGAGGTTAAGTATCATTTCATCAGAGCCAGCGTTGGGCTCGTCTTCGACTGGGGATTCAGATGAACCCAGTTCACGTAATGGCGTTATATTGCCGCAAGATCCAGTGTAATATAATTTTTCCATTAAGGCTTATGACTTCTAACTCGCCTCGTCCTCTGAAGCTTCCACATCAAATGTATGGCGACTTAGTTTTCTCCGCGCGTGCTACATGCCTTGTGCTTGTTTATACTCAAACTACATTAAGGGAAGAATTTAATTTCGCGAAGATCATCAAAGGGAGACGGGGAAGTATGTATGTGTGTGCATGCGTGCACGTATATATCCATCGTCCTATTAAAATATCCTCCTGAGAATTCTGTTCCCCTAAACAGAATTAACCGGTTTACCTTTGTAGCGGAGAACGTAAGTTTCTTATTAGGTAGGAACTGATTTTATATAGCATATTAACTGGAATAAATTCGGTATTTTAAAGAGTTAAAACCATCGTGCTGATTAATGGTGTGCAAGTAATGCATATAGAATATTCAATTTAAAGCACCGAAATTCAGAACTTTCTGTGCAAAGTTCGATTTAGAAGACAAATATCATCTTTTCTATAGAGTTACAATTTTCTGTCAAAAATGTCTTTAATGTCTTCCTCAATTCTTGCAATCAAATCCACTTATAATACCTGTATTAATTTCTTTATTGCTAGTGGGGTGGGACTAAGTCCCTTGTATTGCGACCACTTCTGGCCTGTTGTACCAGCCCCAGATGATAGGTGAGAGTGATTGTGGAGCAATTGGTGGAATGAAGATTGGCAGGGAAAACCGAAGTGTTCGGAGAAAACCTGCCCAAGCGCCACTTTGTCCACCACAAATCCCACTTGACCAGACGGGGATCGAACCCTATAATAATTCTAAGTCGACCGAGTTCTCTTCTTCCTACATCTATGCATTGTAATTGTGCTCTAAGTTCCCATTCTAGAATCTTACTCTTACTTTGGAGCATAGGGCATCCATGAACCGCTGTGTTTCACTTCAGCTTCTTAGTCTTCAGACAGTCGGTAGGACTCCTTGGATGGGTGATCAGACCTTCGCAAGGCCGTTACCTACACAAGAACAACACAAACACAGAATAAATGAAGACAGACATCCATGCCTTGAGTGGGATTCAAGTGCTCACTATCGGAGTCCCGAACGTACTGGCCCGCACCGTGGATCCCGCTGGGCTTGGCCCACCAATGATTTCGCGTCTTTCTCTGCCTTGGAAGAGGAGGGGTCTTGAAGGT